GGTTTAGAATCAGTTGGGTAAATATGCTAATGAGTTCCTGTGTGCCTGATACCACAGTTGTGTTTCATTGTGGTTATCTTTCCACCAGCTGCTCTCTACTTACATGTATTTAACATCATGTCTAACTTATTGTGTTGTCAAACAGTAGTTTATACCACATAAGCTGGCTGAAAGTTGTTTTATGCACACGTTTTACTTACTTCTATTGTGAGAATTAAGACTTCCCTTCATCAAGTACACCAATTTCTGGCAGTTGAAAAGTTTCATGCCACTATCAAGTTTGTTATTGAGTATTGATAGTTAATTTTGTGTTTGGCTAGTGTTACTCTTAATTGTGCCAGCAGCATTTTTTCTTTGTAAAAACAATGCAATCAACAATACACCAATTTCAGTATAGAAGAATATTTCTGTCTTTTACTGATCTAACGTGCCTTAGAATTGTCCCTCAGTTCTCCACTGCAAGCCATAAAGTCCCATATCCTTGGTTGTACATTTTTTTTTTCGTCTGTCTGTTTGTTAGTTTTCAGTCTGTACTCCTGTGATTGCAGAGGTCATGCTTCTTACTGAATACCTTGAAGTGATTTGTCACATCTCATTATTTCTGCCCACATGTCCTTGCCTTGGTTACATTACAAGACAGTCTCAGTAACTCATTATCCAACTTGGAACAGGTGTCCTATTCTCTTCTATAAAAGGAAACCCAAAAAAAGTAATTACTTTGCGAGTTAGGACCACATGTGACAGAAATCTGGGTTCTAATATTATTATTATTTTTTATGTGTCTACATCTTTGATGTCTGAGGTTTTACTGTCAGTTTAGTTGCTGGAATATTCAGATGAGTAACAAATGGGTTGTAAATTGATTCTAATCTAGACCTACTTTTTTGGTAGAGTTGGGGCTTTCTGTTACATTTATTAATTTAAATATATTGAATAGTAGATAAAATATGCTACAGAGATACTATCATTGTGACTGCATATCAAAAGTTGTCTGTCTAATTTGTTTACTATTTTACATTCATTTGATCGCATCCCCTTATGGAAATTATTATCCACATCACTGAGTGGGTTTGTTGATCTCTTATACCACAACAGAGGTCAGACTCTGCGCTGTAATTGGTTAAATTCTCTATCATTTGCATAATGCCCCATTAACCTAAAATTAGCCATTTTCAATGTCACTGTCAACAATCATCACTTTATTTTGTGAAAAGGTCAGCTTTGTTGTCAAGTCTACACAGTGCGCAAACAATAAGAATTTTCTTTTGTTCAAAATCTGCATATCTGCATATTTGTATATAATTATGAATAAATGATTGGGCATATATTTTAGTTGATCTGGCGATGGTGATGTTACATTGTTAGTAACAACTTCTTATTTTTTTGCATATTTCAGAAAAAAGTTATTCAGCAACTCCGAAAAGAATATGGTGTCAAAGATAATGCACAGGTAAATAAGTTTATAACGTTTGTTCTAATTTCATATATATTATTTTCAACCAGAGTACCAATCTTTTTCTGTGCAATATTTTTTTGATCTGCTTATTTCAATAATAGTAATATGAAATTTACAATGGATGCCTTCGACCTTGTCAGTGTTGAATAGCTGCATGTATGTAATAAAAATACCATTATGCCCCTTATAATTACTAGAATTGGCTTCTTTTGAGAAAGCTCAAATTATACTGCTGTGTATTTCCCATGACGATAAATCAACACAGCAATGAAACTGTGTCTTATTTTTTGCCAAGATATAATCAGAGTGTTTTTGCCAGCAAAACATTAATAAATATTAAGTACTGATTGTTTATGTTTTGATTAATGTAAATAATTAGCATACAATAATGTTTCAGAGCTTCACACAGGCATCAAAGACAATTGCCTTGATGCCCGGGGAATTTGTTTTGATGCTCTTTGGAAATTACAGATTTTTCCTATACAATTCATATTAGCTAAGCCAATTTTATAAAATATGGTAAACGAGTATTCTCTCAACTCCAAACCCTGATGTTTTGACGTCTTATGATGAGATGGCAGTCTTCTCTCAGATTGGCTCTAGTTTAGAAAATCATATCCGGCCCAAATTTTAATTTTAATTTCACAAGACACTCATTTGCACCAGTTTGAAATATTGGTCATTGCCAAGTGAAGTTACAGTGGCTTTCGTGAAACGTTGTCTCTGTGTGCCCTCCTCAATCATCAAACCACAAAAAATTATAGCAGCAAAAAAAAATATATAACAGTTTAAAGTGTTCAGTGATTACTTGCTACTAGTATATAATACTACAGCTCGTCCATTGACATCATAGCATGATTTGCATGACAATAGATGTGGGATGACTCTGCCATTGTCAGCAGATCTTCTTCACTGACAGCAGTTAGGTCAGTCACTATGGTAGGTGTTTTTTTATTTGTTTGTTTTTATTTTGTCTGTGTGTGTCCCCAACATATTAAACTTGAACTAGTAGTGTTGCGGTCGCGCTGACTTATTTATATGCATTTACATGAGTTTGTGTGTAGACATAGACTGAAATATTGGATTTTCTTGATATATTTTTGGTTTAAAAAAAAATCACTCTTTCTCTCTAAAAGATACTGTGAAAACTGTGTATAAAAGAAAAAAATATTACTAATTCATTATATAATATACAATTCTTCTCAAAGAAACATGGCTGTTTATTAAATATTTATTAGCACACCATCACTGATTAGAACTGTCTGCAAAATATGGAGGTAATAGATTTTCTTGGGAAGTATTTTGTTGAATTGTCATTTTGCTCATCAGACATTTAGTAAATTATAGTATTGATACGTAAATGCATTGATATTATTGTTATTGTTGCCTTCAATTGGTCTTGATATCTGCTTGTTGTATTCTAGCTTTTGAATCATAATCCTGTTGTGGGGGTAATTTAAGTTGACCCCTGTTGATGCTAATTCTGTTTTTTGCTTGTATATTTTTTTTTATATTTGTCTTGGTAACCAGGATGTTCAGCTCTGTTCTGAAATTTTCTGCTGTAGATATCTGTTGTGTAATTGATAGTGTTAGAGCAACTGCACACTTTTCCAAACATAAGGTTCTAAAACTGTAATTTGTTCCAAACTGATGTACATTTACTATAATCATTCAGTTGAACCTTCTCTGCACCTCCATGTGCAGCAGGCCTTGATGTTTGGCATTATGAGGGCTCCAATTTTCAAAGAAAAGCATGTTGAAAAATGTCTTGGTCAAATTGCAACTGTAGTCAAAATTTTCGGACACCACGACAGTCAGATAGGGCAGCCTTGACAATTGCCTTCATCTCAATTTTTTAGTTTTCGGTCATTATACGTCACTTGTGGTTTTAATTTAAGCTTACAACTTACTTACAGCTGCTGGAAAATAATATGAAAAGTTGTGTGGTTCGTGTTTTAGCTCATATCTTAACGTTTATTTATATTTTATATTTTTTTTTTTTACATTCATATATCTATATCTCATTATGTACATCCAAGAAATTCTTTAGTCACACTCCTTATTTCCTTTGTGATTAATTTATGTTAGCTTGCATTTTGCACTGTTCAGAAGTGCCTCATAAATAATGTGCATAGTTTTTTTTTAAATAATTTTGGAAGAATACTGAGCCAGCAAATTCCTGTTTTATAATCAGCTAACTATAATGCCCTGTACTATACTGTTGCTGCAAAGTATTGAACAAATACAATGCATTTTAAATTAGGCAGATAATTGTGTACTTGTTCAGTGAGCATGACAAGTTTGACCTGAAACATTTTAATAAGCTTGCCTGTATGTGAGAGTAAGGGGGTGAGAGGGGAGCACTCAACAGTGTAGATTAATGCTCATACAAAGTACATTTGTAAGTTACTGTAGAATACTTTATTTTCGCTTGGAATTTATTTTCGCTATTTTCGCTGAATGGATGATTCCGTGAAAATAAAATCCAGCGAATATACTTTTTTTCCTATATTTCACATTAAATTCATCAAAAATCAGTGAAAATAAATTCCATACAAAATGCCCAAAAAGCCTTTTCAGCGAAAATTAATTCCAGCGAAAATAAAGTATTCCACAGTAATTTAGTTGTAGTGTTCTTTGACTGTGTGCAAAAGACAATAAGAAAAGATGGTAATTGTTTTAACTAATTACCATGCTTCTTATTTTCAACATTGATTAATTGTATACTTCTAATTAATATTCTCTTTTAATTGGATGTTTTCTTTAGTTTGAAATGTAGCAGTTAACATGACACATTTATTTTCAGCCATTTGTTTCCCCAGAGATTTCTGTGTTAACTTTTGAGTACATACGGTTCCTTTATATTCCCATGTTTTACAAGCTCCTAGTATATGCACTTAAACACACACAGATAGACACACAGGCGAAGTGTCCTCTTATCCATTTCATAAATTCATACCTACATGTTCTACATTTCTCACAAAAATGGATTGATAATAATGCAGAATATTAAGTGATGGTGTGCCCAGTTATTTTCTATGTATTTGTATGCATCATGGTGATGTTTGTTGTCACCACCCACCCCCATCCATCAATCACACATGGCAGTGTGTAGATTTCATAGATCTGGCCTATCTAGTTTATATTTAACTAGGTTAAGCCCGAATTTTTGTTTTTAATCCTAAACATTTGATTATTTTTACCACATCTTTTCAAATTGCTGGTCTTGTTTGCATTTGTCTGAGCTCAGTAATATACCTACCCTGTTCTTGTTTTGTGTTTTTCAAATCATTAAAAACTTTGAAGAATCACTACCCACACATAGTAATTCGGAATTTGAAATTCAAACAAATAATGAAAAAGCCTCCCTATTCAGTCAAACAGAGAATACTTTGAAATACACAGTACATATTTGCTGCAATTCGGGTGTATTTAGACGATTATATCCTTCATGTAATAGCCATGTGACCCCAATTGTGCTTTATAATTGATTACAGTGCAACTTCAGTATATTTTCTCTCACAATTATGATTGAAAATAATGTACTTATTATTGTGGAGTTTTATAATTTTGATAGGGTGAAAAAAATGAGAAAAAAAATTCTCTTAGTCTTAATTGTCTTGAGTGCGTCAACGTCCGCCAAGGCAGTAACCTAACAATACCTAGATTTGGACTTGCTGTACGTACATCATTAACATAATAGGACTTAGTTTTAACATTGTCTACAAAATTAGTTTGTGCCTAATTTCCACAGGGTTTTAATTTTACTATTTGTTATTCATAATTCACTATGTTTACTATGTTATTTGAAATGACTATTTCCATTGTATGAAACTGAGTTGTTGTTTTTATACTTTGTTTTCATTATTAGCAAAAATGTAGGTGAATAAAGCAAAATTAAAAAACAGTTGATGAATGACTGCTGCATTTATATTTTGTAATTCCCGAATTACACAATGGCTTCCACATGCTATCCCTCGGGTAAAAATGTACTGATGAATGTATCGTCTAATTTGATTGGATTCATCCATATTTTTTTTTGTCTTTCAGGTATCTCGAAGCGAGAATAAAGCACCCCGATCAACTATAATACAGATGGGGCAACAAATACATGTCAAGAGTGCAGTTACAGTGGAGAAATCTAAACCCGATGTCCCAAAGCTTGTTTCTTCTCCTACACAATCTTCGAAAATTTCCATCATGGCCGCCAGAAGCCCCACTGCCCGTGTTCAAAGTGCACCGCTCAGGGTACCACAGTTGAATAGAGTTCTATCACAGTCTAATAGGCCACCTCCGCTACTCAGTCACAATCGGGTATGTTCAGGGTATTTTTTTTCCTGCCCCTAGTATGAATGGATGGTGAGGTGGGATATACAAGATATCTGTTGTTGTCCTCGTTGTTAATTGTTGTCCAGTTCTCTAAAACTTGATGGTGTTGCATCATCCAATCAGAATTGGTTTTCAGTATGTCACATTGATCACTAAATATTACTACCGTATTACCCCGGGCACGCGCCCCTCCCTGGGCAAGTGCCCACCCCCTGTTTTCACAAAAGTTACATGTTAGAGACATCCTCGGTTAAACGCCCAGGGTGAAAAAAAAACATTTTGCCGACCTCAAGTCCATTACGATAACCATAATGAGGCATGCCGACGATGGGAACTTGTTGCATCATCGTTATTTTTATAATTTTGTCACGTGTGTGGGTGCGTGAATAAATCATGTTAATGAGGTCGACCAGAGTTTATTTTCAGTATGTTTTTTATGTATCGCCATTTGGATATGTTTATGTATT